TAACTATTTTTGTTTTGTATCTCAGGGCCAACGGATGCTGCTTGTTTCATGTCAAAAGTGAAAAAATTTTCTTTTATAAACCTCTGAAATTAGTATTTTTCACAACATACCCTCTGTATGTCAACGCTAATTAGATCTCAGATGGACACATTTCTGGCTCCTGTATGCATTAGTAAAAGAAGAGGTTGTCCTTTGCCTTATAAGTGTAAATACACATTCTATGCTCTCCAGAAAATGAAATGTCAAGGAACACTGACAGATTGTACAGTGGCAAGGACGGATTGATATGCTTTTTTTTTCAGCTGTACTATTATTAAAGGTGTATTTGAAAGCTGAAAAAAAGTTATAGAGGGGTCTTCAGTTTTATGTTTCCAAAAAGCGCTACAGCTTATTAATAACTTATAACCGTCTTATGTGTCCCACAACAGTATTTGTAATCCGTACTGTCTCATTAGCAAATGACGGCTATTAGACAACATCCTCTATGCCAGTTTAGCAAATGAAATACTAAACTCTTCAAACTTGTGTTGATAGCTTAATTGCAGCTATAATAGCTATTAAGAATTAAAACATTCTCTGGATACTTGTAAACATTTGACAAGCAACAAAATGGTACAGCAGTTTATCTTCTGAATTAATGATACGAGAGGGTAATTAGGGGGGTTGATTCTTCTCACGACACACTTACAGCGACTTCACCAATTAGTGGTTGTTGTGACAGGTCTAATGTTAATAAGTTTAAATAATTTAGACTTTCAAAATCATATGCAAATTAGGAGATGATGCTGATGAAATAATGTGGCACAATGTACAACGGAGCGTTTCAAGAGGAGGAGGCCATCAGACGTCTGATCCGCACAAAGTCTTCATCCTTCTCAGGTATCTTTGGTTTAAATCATATATATTAACGAGAGTCAGGGATGTAAGAGCAATTAAGGAAATACTAACTTTTATTTTTGCTATTTTCATTCAAATGACAACACCTGCATTTGGCAATAACTTCCTCCATATCAAGTTTACAAAAGTGTCTGTAAACATTAAAGTGCAAAGAATTTGCTCGCCAAATATGGCACATATCTTTTAAAGGTTCATGCTACAAGCACTCCAGTCTAGTTTCATGTGAAGAGTCCAGACAGTTACCTTTTCAATTCAACCACACAAATATACCCTACTAATATTTTCTGAAAACAAAACAAAACAAAAAAAATGCTATTCAATAAATTTTGATGACGGTCAATGGTTTCAAATCAAACTAATAGGTGACAGAAAGGCAAAGGTAAAAAATTGGCTGTTTGAAGAGTAAAGCCAGTCTTGTGTACCCTGTGGCTGTTTGAACAAAGAACAGACTCATGTTTAAATTGATCATACAAATGAAAAGAAACAAAATAACAACAAAATGCATTAGAAAACACTCCTTTAACTGCTCAAAATTCCAGAGAACAGTGTCGAGGTTTTGCAACACTGTTCAGCATTTATGTTTTTGTTCAGTATAGGCTTGAATGGCCCTTTGCTGGTTTTAATTCATGTAAAGTTCAGTGCTTTTAGGACCTATTCAAAGTGAGAATTCCTGATGAAGAATGTGTCCAAGAACACATTAGACGCCCCCTTACTGGGATGTTATTGTCTTTGTTGTGCTATATCCGGACATTTCTGATTTCAAAAATCCATTAAGGGGAAACACGGGAGGTTGGACGGTATGGCAAAGGGCCTAAGAATTCTTATTGTCACTTCTACTACTGACTTCTGAACACGTCAAGTGAAGGAGCATTAGTGTTAACTGGAAGCTAAGGCTCAAGCTTGCTCTGAATTGGCTAAGATTGGATTTACACAGCAACAGAAAAGTCAGGTTTTTTTTAATCTTATGTGGTCCCTCTCAGGAGGTTTGACCTGTCACAAGAGTACAGATATATGCCAAACAAGATGGCAGTAAAAAGAGAGTAAAAGCTTCTGTTTCTGTGTAAATGTAGCTTATGTATCAGGCATGTGGCCCAGAGGTGAGTCAGCCGGTCCTAGTAGCCGGTACTTCTCCTCCAGAGAGGGCTCGGTGCTGCTGCCCTGCAGGTGGATCAGAGGCTTGGTCTGCAACAGCACACAGCCTCTTCCCCGGCCTCGCCTCTCCTCCTGGTTCCTGCGATTGAAGATGTTTATTCTGTTGTCCAGTTCAGGGCTTGCGTTTTCTGAGCCCGTGGGACTGGGAAGCTTAAGGTTGACAGGGTCTACTGCCAGGCCCTTCTGAGCGAGGCAGGAGTCCTCAGAGAGGGAGGAGAGTAGCTCCTGCACCACCATGCTGGGGTCCCTGCAGGGGTCCTGGCCTGAGAAGGAAGGAGGGCAGCAGCGATGGGCACTGTAGCTCAGACTGAGGTCCTGAGCTGTGCTGCTGCTGCAGTCTGTCATAGACGAACCCGGCGTGTGGCTACTCAGGCTGTGGGGGCGGGCCGTCAGGCTGCCGCTGGACCGTGATATGCTGGTGGAGGCGTCACTTACAGCGCTGCCCACCCGCTCCATGGCAAGCATCGGATTCGACTGGATGGGGTTGGTACTGATGGGAAGATGAACATCAATGGCTGCCGTGGTGATGACCCGCGCTCCCAAACCTGAAGCCCCAGCATCTTGACAGACATGTAAATTAAGAAAATGTCACACAACAGGGAAGGAATCATCCCTTTAACGGTGTTGTGCAAAAGGTAATGGTAAATTTGTTCTGCTGAATATCAATATAAAAAGGTCATCATAAGTCAAGAATTAAGACTTTTGTCTGGCAGCAACCAGGATAATCAAGCTTCATATACCATTTATAATATTAATAAATATTCATCAAGATCTAATTGAATCTTCTGAAAGGCAGGTACAACAAAATCATATCTTTTATGAGTGATCTATGGGGAAATCTTTGAAGTTTTGTTGAATACTCTAGCAGCCTCTAAAACACTCAGAAAGAGTCAGAAAAAGGTGTTTGGCTGTTTCTGTTTGTGTTTGCATTTACTTTGTGTGAAATAATGTCGTTTTAATAGTCACTTACCACTGCTCGCTTCGCTGTAATATTGACTGATGTAGTTGTTCATGTCATCACGTACAACTGGATCTTTGTTAAAGAAATACAAACAAAATAATTACACGGTTACCACTTTTATTTCAGAGAACCAAGTTTCAAATAAAAACACGAGATCTTCATATTTCTGCCTCTGTTTTACTTTGAACCCACCACTCATCTTCCTGCTTATTTCCTGGTTTTCCAGTCTAAAGCTTCCCCGACTATTAACATGATATTTTCTACAGTATAATCATATAATGCTAAATGACAGTGTTGCTAGTAAAACATCATTATGGAATTTAAATGCAATCATATCAATATATAAAATGTAATGGAATAAAAACAGATGAGTCAAATCACTCACAGCAGATAAAAGATCCAAACATTTTTTCATCTCTTCGCAGTTCGATAGAAAACTTATCATAGCCTGTTTTTTCTCACCTGAACTACAACGTTTGTATGCCCACCTATTCAACCGCCATGTGACCAATGTGGATACTGTGCAATACAAAATATGCGTGATGTCAAAAGTATTATTATTATTACTGCTCAGTTCTGAATAATGTTTGCACTACAATGAGTACAAAATGGACCAGAAATTGTGATTAGCAGTTATTTTTAGAATTAAATTAGGGGTAAATGTAGTGTAACAGACATGTAGATGGGTGCCAAATTAAAGGAAATTTTGTAAATAAAGTGTCTTAGGAAGGCTGCCATGTGCCACCAGAACACTCAGTGTGTCTTGGTGTTGATTCTTGAAGTTTCCTCATTGGGTGTTTTGAGGATGGGTGGAGGAGAGCACTGTCTAAATCTCCCACAGGCCACAACGTATGATGCACATCTTTTTTATCTAAGCATTTAGTGACCCCTCATGGGGGCGTTTGTATTGACTTGCAGTGATGCTTCTTTCAAAAGGGGACAACTGGTCTCAAACCATGGCAGCAAAATGTCCCCGCAGCATAACAGGGCCATCGGATTCCTTCCCTGCAGGGCTCAAGGGTTTAGGTTTTTCCTTTAATCTGTCACCCGTCTGTACAACTAATACTCTGTGCGGCAGTGACTGTAATTGAATTTCACACCTTTTTGTTTGTACTTCGCTGCATTTCAGTACTCACAGCGCAAACTAGTCCAAACGGAAAATATCGCTTATGTTTACAACATAATATTGACAGAGATGACTTCTGCCTCAGGCCACAGGTGCTTTATAGGCAAGTGGTCTGGATCACGCACTGCTACGTTGTGCATTAGCTGCACCTTAGTGCACTAGGAATAAACTGGGACAGGGACGGGGTGGGGTTGGTTTCAGGGACGGGAGAAATGGGGGAGAATGAGAGCGACTCGGAGCTCTTTGTTCAGGCTCTGATCCCTCCAGCCTAGCGGGCCTCAGCGTGCACGGTGAATGGCTGCGATCTGCTGCGCTCTTCTGCTCGCTTCATTGGTCTTGAGCTCACTGTCCGCTGGCTGAGTGCGAACCCAGAGTACCCTGAGTGCTAGCCCCTGTCCCGTGGGACATGCTGCAGACTCTGATGGGTAATTTCATTTATTTTTCAGTCTAAAATATTAATCCCTGAGCCACCCCTGGAGAGGAAGCATTGCACTCACTAAAACAAGACTGAGACAATCACTCCACAATTAATAACACATGAGTCTTAAGGAAAAAAAAAGAATGGGCTGTCCGGCATACATAAAAGGCTCTCCTCTTCTTTCTGTGACAGTCAAGTTATCCGGCTGTCATGTGTCTGTGGAAAAGGAGAGGTGACGTGCAGTGGTTCTCTTAAATGGGTGAAGTGTTATTTCTACATCGCAGCAGAAGTGGAGGGGGCAGACTCTGGGAAGAACTAATGCTACTCTATGTAAACAAAATAAACAATTAATTACAATTTCAGATTAAGAACACATTGGCTTTGATTTTACAACACAGCAGCTTCATGGTGTCAATAAACACCATGTCAGCATGCTGGTTCCACTTTGGTTCACATTATAACAGGAATTTGCACAAATTGCCAAACATTCACGGTGATCATATGATGGATTTTAGTAAGTCTGGTGATGCCCTGAGCTTTCATCTATCATCAGGCCAATGTCTGTTTTTTTGAAGATCTCTCATTGCCTTAACTGTACTTTGTTTTTTGTGCTAATTAATTCTAAACACACTAAACTAAGATAGTGAACACGATGATACCTACCTAAAGTCAACATGTTACCACAGTCATCGTGAGCATATTATCATACGGACTATCCTCTTGGAGAGAAAACTTTGTTTGTTCATTAATTAACACTGCCTGTCACTGGATGTTCTTCAAATTTACAAAGTTTAGCACTTTGAGGAGTCAAAACCATCAGTCTCCTGTCATTCGTATAAAGGCCGTTGCCCTCATCAGAGGTCTTGGTAGTTTAATGGCACCCTGGAGGGGAAAGAGACAGAGAGAAGCCTACTGTGTGCAATACTGGCCAATGCAAATAAACTTGACTTGATTTGACTTCACCTGATTTGACTTGGGCCCTGTGGCCTAAGTGCTCATCCCAGTGACCATGTTTCTGTAAAAAGCCCCACTTGTCTCTGTGAGCCAGATTTCCCACTATGCCCTTGGGGTAATACTGTGGCCGCTGTGGAGCCTCATGGTGCCCTATTGTGGTTTGCAGGTGAAGGGGAACAGATGTTGACAGGAGCCCACTCTCTCCTAACAAGGCCCAATGCACAGAGCACTCTGTACCTGAAATAGCCCAAAGTAGTCTGGGCTGGCTCGGCCAACCTCGCCACGAAGGGGGGCAGTTAGAGAGATATTCGGGGCACGAGAGAAGCCCATGCAGCTTGACATATAGTGTCAGAGAACATGCTTGTTTTCTCCTGGATTCACCAGATCCTGAAAGCTTTTTTGCCCTCGCATTGATCCCAGAGCGCCTGCAGTCAGATGGGTGTTGTGTGTGAGCATGGAAGGGCTAAGAGCTTGGCCTCAAAGGTGCTCCAGGGCTACTGCTCCAGATTAACTGTACACTGCTCTGGCATCCAGTTCACCTGATGTTACCACGTTACAGACTTTTTGTTCCACATAATTATGTACATACTTTATGTTGCACCTCTCTCCTGGTTTGTCATGCTGCCTTCTCAAGCAAAAAGTGCCCCCGGCGCGGTATGTATTCAAATTCGCTGTTTTGAGCTTTTGTCTTAGATGCAGTCATTTTCAGATTTATCTTTTATAGCCAACTCATGTCACATACCAGTTTGTATGGCCGTTTCCAATGCCCTTCAACCCAGTCTATACAAGCACAGCTTTAGAAATAATACTATACCTGCAGTAGCACGCGGCTCCCGGGGGTTTCTCTGACCGCCTTCATCGTCAGACTCCCCAGGAGTCAAACCTTCTACAACCTGAAAGCTCCTGCCCTGTTTGCCCCATACATGGTGGATCTGCATGGCTGCTTCCCGCTCTGCTGCGAGGTCCAGGTCCTGCTGGGCCAGATGTGCCCTCAGCTGCCTGATCTCAAACTGAAGACGGTTGGTGTGCATACGTTTATGAAAAAAAAAAAAAAGAAAGAAAGAAAGAAACAACGTGGGGAGTGTGAATGAATATGGAAATGCCATAAAGGGATTTTAAAATGATGAGTAAGTAGTTTCAGGAAATGTGGAAAAAATGAGGAGGACAGGAAAGAAAAGATCAACGGAGGAGAGAAACAAACCAGGGAGGGAGGAGAGAAGACAAGGAAGGTTGATGTAACCAAGAAACAACATGAGGTGAAAAGGTGAAGAAAAGAGTGAGGAGAAGGATGGACGGAGAGAAAATATGTGGCCCAGCATAAGTTTCAGCACAATGAGCATCATTAACATAGACGGTAATATAAAAGAGTAAAATATATAAATACACCTGTGGTCATACATAAACCTACAGAACAGGGTGTCGTCTAAAGGGGACAGTTTAATATAACTGGAAAACTTTTGCTTGCATTTATAAAGGATGGTTTGTTTAAGAAGAATTATTACATAAATCTGATAATTTCATTCACTTTATCTGAACTTCAGTCAATATAGTCAGTCTTCAGTAAGTAAGTCTTTATCAATATTTATGATAGTCTGAATTTTCCACTGTGAGACTGTCAGCCTGTATTTTCTCAGGAATAATGATGAAACCTGCTGAAAGAGCCAACCTGTTTGTGAGGTATTGCTGCCCTCCTCTGGCGGCAGATTAACTGACACTTTCTTATGAGGCCAAGCTCAACATGGGCCTGTGTGGCCTTAATCACACCATTAGTGCAGTAAACCATTTACTGCTGTCAAAGAATTGATAATTACGTGACTGCAAATTACAACTGATCATAAAGCAGTAAGCAAGAAACATCCACATCCGAATTGCACACTTTTACTACCCACATACAATATAAGCCAACAGAATTTATGTGGGACTATGTTCAAGGTGTCATTAAAGCTGCATTCAACTCAGTTTATGTCCTCTGAGAATTATAAACCCACTATTACACAGAATATGCCCATGAAAGTTTTGCATTATTTTCATCCATTCAGTGCTGAACCATATCACGGTTGTTGGCAGGTGGATGTGCTGCGATTACTCTGTTTTACACTTCAGAAACTCATGAGCTACACTTTTGGGTGTGTTGCAACTACAGAAACCTCCCCTGTAAGTCCTGTTTCAGGGCCTTTGTCAGAGGAGAGGACAGTACCTCCAGAAAAATCCCTGAAAAACTGCTTGGTGGGATGTGACGTTGATTAATTGAACTCAGAGAAGACAACAATGGGCGCCATTTTGTTTCTTTCCTGTGGGTGACAGCCTCAACTCGCAGTCTTCTCCACTCAAACATCACCGTCAACAAAAGGTACATTTGGACATATAGGAATTCACATCAAACTGCAACTATCTCGGTTCCCTCCAGTCATGTTGCTGTCTTGAAACACTTGCTATTGAAGTTGCACTAGAAGTATTTGCAAAATTATGATGTAACCTTGAGAGTAAAGTTGCTCCTGCACCACAGTAGGGTTAGTTATTGCAAATAGGTCTATATGTAGGCACACAGTACTACATACCACATTCATTTTGTGTAAATCATCCATTTGAAGGCAAAGACATGGTTGAAAGGTTAGGTTTAGCTAGGATAAGTCAAGTTTGGGGTAAAGTTTGGGTTCCAGCTGAGTTTAGGTTGTGCTAAGGCGTCATGTGGTGAAGTGTTTGTGTTTTGTCATCTGAGAGGCTGCACATAAACTCCTCTCATTTAGAGGGCCGTACCTTTAAACATGAACGCCACCTCATACCTACTGTGACTTCAGGCTGTGAAAAGGAACTTAGTGAGGACCCATGCTCTTCTTGTAATAGGATGATTACAGCTTTGACTGGTTGTATGAAGAGTTTTCTTAAAAATTCTACATATTTTCAGCAGGGACTCACAATATATCGGCGACCATATCAGTATCGGCCGATATTCGTGTTTTTCCGATATATCGGTATCGGCCCGACGAACAAATTTGTGAAAAACCAGTGATTGTCTAACATTAGAGGCTTCATCCCTACATTTGATATTGCTGCTATTTCACAGCTGTTTTTTACTTAAATGGTCCTGGACTTGAACGGTAAATATGTTAAAATATGTTTTACTTTTGTTACATAATAAAGGGAACTGTCAGTTCTTGGTATGGGTTCTTTTGAATAGTTTTCACATTCTAACAGTGCTTACTTATACTCATTTTTTGGTGTGAACAAAAACTGAATATCACCATCAGTAATATTGGTTATCAGTGATGTCAGAAATCTTAATATCAGATATTGGTATCAGCCAGAAATTTTAATATCGTGCATCACTACTTTTCAGTCTCCCCTTTTACATTTCAAGCTAATTTTGTGGATGTGAATGGGTGATTGCAGCCTTTCTATGATGTTAAATTTGAGGTGTACTCACAGCCTGCTCCTGACAGATCTGAGTGAGACGCTCCAGCTGCTCCTCTCTCACAGCCTTCGTCTTCTCACACTGCTGGATCTCCAATTCCATCTCAACTTTGACTTGTAGCACATAAGCTAAAACGGAAGAGAAGGGAGAGAAAAAGAAACAGAATTTGAGTAATGACACCAAACTGCATAATTACATTGTGTGAAAACACTGTGAAGCATAAGGAGGCATCAAGTCAGTGTAATATACATCCAACACATCACGGTCAAAAGTCAGTGTTGGTTGACCATTAGCCCTCTACTCCGAAGATGTCTGTCATCACATACGCAAACCTCATTAATTACTGCTAACTAGTAACACTAAACCTGTACTGAAGGAACTAAACAAGGTGCTAAAAGGGTTCCACAGGTTGAAGGTGTCAGAAAACGTAAAAATGTTTTCAGTCCAGATTTATAACGTAAACGTCCTGTTTCACCCCATCGAAAACATCACTATGAGTTAACATCTGGGGCCTGTGTGCAACATCTGGATTAACTGAAGTGACAGTTCTGCCATGAGCCTGATACTGCTTTAGATTAACAAGCACTGATGGGGTCAAGGAAGACTCAAAATGATCTCTGTTTATTGTCAACAGTGGTTCTGATCTGCTTCTTAGGAAACAATTCTACAGAGAAAAACAACAAAATGACACTTTAAAGTGTGACATGCTGCATTTCGTGGATGCTTAATCGCTACTTTGTGTACTAAGAACACATTTAAACCAACAGAAGCTTATAGGAACCTGGATGGATGCTTGTATCATACTGTGTTAGTTCATTTTATGTAGAGTTTTTGAATATTTTTGTAAATGTCTGGTCTTAGCAGCCACATGCTTGCTCGCTCTTCATCTTTTAATCTTCTGTGATGTCTGAGTTGTGGCTCTAACGTGACCATTTAAGTATTGTCAACATACTCTGACCAGCCTGAATGACACTTGTCCTGGTATCACTGATTTAATCAATTCTTATCCCTTTGCAGCTGATTGATTGTTTTTTTTTCTATGAATTATTAACTAAACAGTCCCTGAAATAATGAATGTAATGTTCAGAAATATCAGAAGATCAGCCACGCTGGAACTGATGCATCAAACAGTTCAAATCAAGCCCCGGTCAATCGGTAGCTGCACCTGCTACAATCTGGCTGCACATTTTATTTATAAATGACACAGTTTCTGGAGCAGGACGGGAAGGTGTAACTAAAAAAAGAAGAGGGAGAATAAATTTGGATACCTGTTGTCGTCACTGTTGGCAGACAATCAGTCTTTCACACCTCTCTGTCATCACATTTGTAAGTCAACCACATGATAGCACACGTGGTAAAGCTGTGTATCCTGACTGGGACTGTTGCAACGAGCAATACACACACACACACACACACACACACACTTCATGAGTAATTACACCTGCCCTTTTCATAAAGCCTCGTGAACTATTAGGAAATTCAATTGCTGGCTTTGTAAACACGCTGAGATGAGAATAAAATAAGGCTTTCTTGTTACAGAGAGGAGTAGAGCAAAGCACACAGCCACCACCACATGCTCCTTGTACCTATTTATAGTCATGTTGGCACACATAGGCATCACAAAAGGAGAAGACATCAGATGGGGTCAGTCCAGTCAGAATTCACACAAGCATGAAAAGCTCAATCAGAAGTTCATTATTTAGCCACACACTGTAATACATTTATGTGGCAGTGTGTGTTTGCAAGCATGCAGAGTCAATTACGTGATTACACTCGTGTGTGTGTGTATGTGTGAGTGTGTTGTGTGTGCGTCTCACAGCACTGCTGACAGCTTCTGGCAGTGCGTGTCTAACAGTGTAATTCACACCACAACTGATCCCACGACTTCTAAGAGGCCAACACAATGCCCTGCTCCACTCTGTCCACTCACCTTGTCAAGTGTTTCACTGCTCACACAACAAGCCTGTGACATGTGTACTTAACCCACAAAACCCTGTTTCCCTGCACTCTGACACACACATACAAACTTTTATTTATATGGCAAATATAGCTGACATATAATACACACAGTGTGCTCTGTGTATGTGCTCTTTTTAAGGCACTGCCTCCATTACAAGTCAAAGTATCGGCTCTATTGTTCTGATAGTATGGGTGCTTACTTATCTAAAAGGTTTCTGCTGTCAACGCAGGAGCTAGAAGACATCCTACAGGAAATGAATACTAAAATTGAAATAATTCACGTGTTGCTTGACCAAATAATGGCAAAGAAAACAGCATAACTCACTATGCAGCAAATGGTTTTCAAACACACCAGGTTACAGTTTTTGTTTTTTTGGAGCCACCTATTTTCTACAGGTTTGAGAGGTTGATATTTCCCATCTGACACTGCATTGCTAATAAAATCTGCTTAGTTTTCCTCACAAATTGTGCTGCAGTTCACTCTTCTGCATTTCCACTCCCATTGGACCGACAAACATTGCCGCTTTATACGTCAAGCTTATTCTAGGAGAGACTCAATCGCACTCTTACGATAACTGAGCCGGTCCCTCAGCTGTACATTTATTGGTTTGAGTGCAAATTTTTTTTTCCACCCCTCCGAGGTCTGTTGCTGCCTGCCTAACAAGGAAACTCAATCACTCACAAATATCAAACCCAACAGGTTGAGGTGTGCAGCGGGAAAATCAAGAGTTCATTCCCTGGAAAGCAACACTGCAGCTGCATGTTAAGAGGCACACTTTTCCAAAGACAGATGCTCCTGCTGAGTGAATCAATGTTGTTGAAAGCTGTATTGTATTCATTCCTGTGTTTATTTGTCATGTTGATGATGTGTCCCTTATGGGTCAGTAAATTGGCTGCATTTAAACAACTTACTCAGGTTTGATTAAATGCAGCAAATCTGGATCAAAGCCATCAACCATAAATCAACCAAGAGAGTTATTTATGTTAGTAATCAAAAATTTAGGATCATTATTAGGGAACAGATTTGAAAGACACTTAACTTGTCCACTGTCTCACTGGACATGAACAAACTGTAGCCCGAGTTGCTGCTTGTTTCATGTGCAGCTGATCCTGTATGCAGTCAGAGATTCGTCGTGAGGGTGACCTCTGAACAGATATTGAACCAGTCTGCATTAGCATAGGGGAGAACAACCACTATATTCATTATGGCTTCTCTGAATCTACTCAACCAGACGCTTACAATCAATACAAGTTAGAGTAGCAGAGTGGCAGCAATTTACTCTGAGGGATGATCAATAGCTATATTGCTCTGAATAGCAAATAATTTGTATAATCATGGATAGAACGGCTGTCATTTGGCTGTTTGAAGGCCAGCTGACTTTCATGCATCCGTGTGATCCCTCTGAATGAAGAGCGACCGGGTGTTTCCTCAGCTTGCTTCGCAAAATGAATCAGCCTCGCTTATGAACTTGTTGATTGTGACGGACAAAAGGTTTTTTTTTCGCCCGCCTCACCGTCAATGATCCTCTTGACCCTCCAGATTCGCAGGGTGATGATGAGGCTTATGGCGTCCCAGGGGCTGCTGGGCCCGTTGGCCACCGTGGAGGCCACCATGGGGGCCAGGGACAGCACAATGACAGCACCATCAAACACCTGAGGGGGGTCACACACAAACAAGCGCATACAAAATTCAAAGGCATGTCACTCTTGTTGTGAATCATAAGCCCCTTCCAGTTACCCCGTCCAACTCTCCAGTGCAGCGTTCTGGCTGGAAATAGACTAGACTCAAAGGTTAGGCTTACATGTGGAATTTATTCATGTATGCACGTATAGCGGGTTGCGCTAAAAGAATATTATTTGCATTCTTGCTGAGGGTTACATGAAAAGACCTCATACCTCATATATGTTTGCACAGTAAACACTGAAGCTACCAACACATGGTTGACTTAGCTTAGCATAAATAAGGCAAGCAGCTTGTGCGGCTGTGTCCAAATGTTACAAAATCTACCCATTGGCACCTTTAAATATAAATTAACTGGTTATATCTTTCTTTTGTTGAGGAAATTCCTTGTGTTGTGACACTTGTTTCCACTTGTAAAATCAACTCTCAGCAAGAAAGCAGATAAGTGCATTCCCTCAAAATGTTACGCAATTTTAGAAGAAACACTAGAAAAACTCAAGTACAGGCATATTATAGAAAAACAAACTTACACAATAAAGATAATATCTGGCCAAATTTTTTGGAAAAGATTCAAAATTTCCAGATCTGCCAGTATACCAGTACTAACCTCAACTTTGTTTTCGATGTAGTCCCAGATCCCGAGCACTACAATCCTGAAGACAGTCTGAGGCAGACAGAGAGACAAATGAAAACTTTAAAATAGATAAATGAGCGAGCATGCTGATACATATCAAAAGCTCTTGTGATATTCTCAGTCTTTTGAGTTGTCATCACATCCAACAACCTTTGTCAATATGTGAAACGAGGCCTGCGCCTGTTTTCGTCTTTGAATCTCTTTTATTTCTAAACAATGTGGAATAATAACTATGCAAGAATGTTATATCTGAAGCCAGACTCGCTAAAAGTAGCCCAAAATACAACAATTAACCACATCTGCTTAGTGGAAAACATGTTCAGATGATGAAAAGTAGCAAAAAAAAACATGCACATGCTCATTTGACTTTGATACACAGCAGAAACATGTCAGAGAAAGCATCAGGCACTTCTTCACCTGGTCATGTATTTAAAATAATTTCTGCATTATAATCATCTTAATAAAGCTTCGTCCGTAGTAAATATGTTACCTAATATAGATATTTGACCCGCAAAAGAGAGCACAACACATGTAATTGGATCACATGTGAAATTCTACATTGTGCTCTGTGAAAGCTGTTGGCTGTGGGACACTTTGTTGAGCAGGGTCATTGATTTACACTCTAATTAGCATGAGGTGTCGTGTACAAGTGGTCCTGCTAATCCATCATCTGGAGTGCATGTTGGACAACAGCGCCGGTGTCAAATGAGACGTACAGGTGCCCCGCCCACATGTAAGAATTCTGCTTTCCGATTGGCGCAGACGGGCCCGCTGGTGGTATGTCACATCTATCTAACGGCAGTCCCTGGTGACTCTTCTCCCGCGATGTCGGTGGGTGAGGTGTTTGGATGGATCGCATCACTGTAACCCCATCCCCACTGCTCATTAAGCTCAGCTTTAATTATTGCTCCTGCTGGCTCACTGGTAATTAATGTTTGGTTTAGGGCATTGGGGCTGAGGCTGTCAGGGTAATTGGTTTGCACTGGAGTGGAGGCCTGTGGGCCAAATTCACCCCTTTCCATTTTGTTTTTCACAATTCGCGAGCAATGATAAGACATTACGTTTTTATCAAACAATGGCTTCATTTTTATTAAGACTACTTACAATTATGCTTCAAATGATAGACATTTTTCTAACCATCAAGCCCCAAGGTAGCATTGATGAAGCTACGGCTTAATCCTGACGAGACAATAGACAGGACAATAATGAAAATTAAATGGCAGCAACCACCTACTCCAGTTCCCTTAGGCTTGTGCCTGGTTTGCAATGCTGGAGATAAAACGTAATCTACAGTTAAAGAAAGTTTAGCGGGTTTAATTCAATTACAAATGAAAAAGAAGTGTGACATGTCAGTGCCTTTGCGCCCTTGAAACGTTCTTGTGACCACATAGCATCATCTTAAGAGGCCGAGAGCACAGAGAGGAGGGGGGGGGGATAACAGAATGAGAACTACACGGAGGAAGACTTTCCATGAATGATGCAATCAGAAATAAAAATTTATATATAGAAAATTTTACAGATCATACCTCTGAAAAGAAGAGTGACAGGATGATAAGGCTGATCCAGTGGATAATGCTGGCAAATTGGAACGCATTGGAAACTGTTGAGAGAGGAAATAGCATGAATGTTAATTTGCACAGTTGAAAAGGAGCACGCTGTAACATGCAAAAAAAAAAAAAAGTTACTGAATGAATGTAGATTCAAGGAAAACTAAAATAAGTAAACTTTTGCCACATTAGATGTTTCAATCATCTCAGAATCCATTCACTAACCATCAGTCCCAACCTGTTTCTACTTATATTCTACACCACTAAAACTCTCTTGCCCTGCCCCCGCCTCGTTGCCTACTGCACTCTTTGTCTTGCGGGACTGACAGTGGGCTAAGAACTAGATTACAATAGATCTAAAGTGACTAGAGTCCTGCAGTCCCCGTAGCGAGACTTGGGTATCATCTGAGCTGGATGCTGGCCAGTAATCGATGGGGATGTGTGCCTGCTGCCACTGACAAGAGACTTGGTTCATTATCACCTCACTCCATCACTCCCCATCACAACCATTTACCATCCAGCTCCACCAGCACTTCTGTGACTGACTACACACTCTCAACAGCGATGCCTGCACACGACTAAAAAAAATGGCATCATTTTAGGTATAGCATTGCCTTAACACAATTTAATACAGTTTACAGTAAGTCCTATAAGTGATAGTTTTCCCAGCACCTACACACAATAAATCTGTTTTTTTTCCTTAATTGTGCAATGTATGGTAGTGAAATTAAATGAAGGATACAATGCAAAGTCAATCTTATATACATTATTAGTTTTAAATTAGTTTTTGAAGTCTTCAGTATTTACTAAATATGTACATTCTAAGTCAATGCACATAATTGTACATACATTTATGCACGTATTGACAGTGATTTATTTTGATGCTTTACTTGACTAAACGTATATGTGTGAGTGTGTGTGTGTGTGTGTGTAAAAACATGCAGTAACAAAGTAAAGGTACAGAATTTATTTTGTATTTAAAGCATCATAAGTAAAAGTACTGAAATAATATATTTAACTCAATATGTTTGTTCACAGTAACACTGATGTAACAATATGTAAGCCCTTTTTTACTATTGTAGTTAATCAAAATGAAGATAATTTTAACCACTTAAACTGCATTTTATATCTCTATTTGTTGACCATCAGAAGGTACATATTCAAAACATTCATCTTGTACAGCAGTGGCAGCTTCCTGGGTATGTACAGGTGAAGGACAGTGGAAGAGGAAGAAGAAAAGCACACATTTTATTCCTGAAAATAAATTCTCTCAATACGATCCTGTCGGCAGGTAGGGCACAAAGCAGGAGCAGCACCAGTGGAGTTAATAAAGATTCAGTTTAATGCTCAAGGACACTAAAGACTTTAACTCCCCACCGCTCCAGTGGAGCTGCTGCTGCGTGCTGCACTGTGAGCCTCCCAGGTGTCTTATGAACGTCACGCGGTGTATTAATGGAGAAGAATACGCACGCTCAGCAAACTCTTCTTTAATGAAAGTGCAGGTTTGAAATAGGAGAAATAAATGTGCGCTATTTACATTGTAGGAGTTTGGTGTCTATGAGCAGCTCCAAAGACAGGAAGAGCACCACCAGGATAACGCAGGCCACCAGGATGCAGTTAAAGCCGGCGCTGAGCAGACAGACCTGCCACAGGGCCACCCGACGCCCGCAGCACGGCTTCAGCCAGTTGGACCTACGGACAGGACAAAGAAAGAGGTGGGGTTTTTTATTTAAGAAAAACCTTTATCAGCATGTAGAATAGTCATTTAGAACAATTTAATTTCTGTTAGATTCATCTACATATAAAAGAGAGGTAGAAACACAATCAGAAGCTTGCAAACACAAATTATCTTTTTACTGCACATATTTAAAAACGATGCTGTGACCCCAAGGTTGTTTCCCCTTTATACAAAGTAAAACAGATCAAGGTGCCAAGATGTGACTCTTGAGCAAGTAATTATGCTTCACAGCACAGTTCTACATTTTAAATTTTAGAATGTGGATTTATCCATGATTACACTGATTCCCCCAGTGAAATGCTGCACAGGGCTTCAGTGGGTTGATGTGGATATTTGAACTCCCTGAACCAGCCAACAGAGGGTGTTAGTTTACACGTCCTAAAGGTGATGCCTGTTTGAATCCAGGCAAAGTTTGGCGGTGACGGCCAGAGCGGAGCGTGGTCAGAGACAGCATTGACAGAGAATAAGACAGTGAAGCTCTGTGAACTAGTGGACTTGATCATCAGCGGTGTGATTGGAATACTGATGAACTCCCTTTTACGTGGCAATGAAGGGAGTCACTGTAGAGGATGCTGGAAGGATTTCACATTTTGTTAACATCGTGGCCTGAGACAGAAGCAATAGTGTTGAATGTAAAGTAAAATACTTGTTGAATTCACATCTATCCCTTAATCTATAGACTGTTTAGCTTTAGGATACATGTTTTAAATAAAACAACAGTCACATTTCATCAGTCACAATCACTTGTCTGTTGAAATCTGCTGCACATTGAAGAGAAAATAGTAGGTGAACATTTTGAAGACTCAGCTTGATTTTTGATGCTAATCCAGCATTTAGGCCACTAAGGTGTCTGGCAAAACGGCTCAGTGCTATTTTGATATAGTGGGATGGTCATACAGATCAACTACTACAAGAGCTGACAGTAGGAGCTGAGAGAAACAATGCCTCTCACCAGCTCTCCAGCTGGAATGGAAAGTTGGCTCTGCCCGCTACCTTTCCCTTCTCCCCATGCACTGGCAGGGAAGAGGCAGACGTTGGCAGAGCGTTTCCCTCCTCTGATCATGTCTTCATTCCTTGGCGTGGCGCTAATATGAGCTGCAATGGTGGCAAAATGGCTCCATTTTCACTGCGGCTTCAAAACTGATTTGCTGCACTCGTTGTGGAAGATTTTCAAAGTTAAATCTGTTTTAAAGGTCTATTAAAAGTAATCATTTCCTCTTTTTTTAATGCTGGATGAAGATGCGTTGTATCCTTGAAAAGCTGCATTTGAATGGGAGGATACAACTGAAGTATTAACTCCAAAAGTACTGGAATGAAACAAATTTAACCATAATAAAAGTTGACATTATCTCCCTCTTCTGCAGATCTTCGAGGTAAGCATTCAGTGTACTGTACATTCATGACTAGTTCTCAGTATCAGCAAATGACTCCTGAGCCTTTAATGTTTTTTTACTGTAGTTTGCTGTAAAAACAAACTATCCCAGGGGGAGGGTGACTGTTTACGTGTCACCACCTCATGCGTGGCACATTTTCTCCCGCTCAGTCAGTGGAAGAGGCCACACATGTGTCTTTTTGACTTCATATGTGAGTCTCTTTAGCTATTTGATCAAATATAAATGTCGAAAGTTCACATTTCCACTGCAAAATTGATATCACTGATGAAGAAACGTCAGAAAATCAAAATGAAAACATTTTTCTGAGGCCCTCATTTGATGATTTCCTCCCACAGTAACGCATTTATGCAGCAATAAGGGAAATGTTTTCAGCAGCTGTCGAGCTGATCGCTCCACCCTCCCGCTGGTTTCTCGGAGAGTAGTAGTCGCTCAAGCCTGGCACGGGTAGAGCCGCAAGTCTGTAAACAATGCACGGCTAATCTAATAAAGATGTAATCATGCTGATAGCAATCATCTTCTTGGCTTTGGGTGGGGTGGCACAAGTGTGCAAGCTCCAGATGGTGTAGAATCTGCTCCACCAGAGTCTCGGCAAGACTGCGAGGATGCCAGGTATCGTGCCATTATGTGTACCAGCCTACGTGCCAGAACACCTGGGCACCTGAAGCAAAATAATGGTCTACTTTATGTATTTGTTTTGTTGTTTCTTGTTGTATTTTTTTTCTCGTGCAGCTGGTGTGAACATCTTTAAGGCAATGTCAGTGTCTCTGGGTTATAGTTCTTAAATCACAGTGTAGGTTTAGTACAACATCGTAAAGTGAACAAATGCATAGATATTTTAACAGTAAACACATGTTATTAATGCAGGCATATTTTGTGTATGCCAAATGAAATGCTCTAAAGAGATTTCAAACACATTATTGTTGGCCTAACTTTAGATTTCATTTTACTTAAGTAACATAAGCTGCACAAAATGTGATCTTTGGCGTGCTTAAATGTAAGAAGAATCACTAATTCATCTCCTCCATCAACATTTTCTACTAGATTGTGGAACTTTGCACCAATAACCCTCCATTAATAACCCTCATTAACCTTTTCAGATTTGTAGTTACTCCCAGCGGGGCAAAGCTCATATTAGAAGCATATTCATCCATAATGAATATTCAATACTGCCATCACTTTGTAAAAATAGGGGGAAAAAAATAAATAAAAAATGAAATATAAATAGCACATATAAATAGCACATCAGAAATGTTGTTTTTTTTCAGTCAGGTAATGCAAGCCAAGCTGTAGGGTAGTTTGTGGCTATTTTTTTTAGACTAAACAAAATGTGCTTTGGTAATTCCATGCCTTTGAGTCATCCAAACATTTCACTGGTTCAAACAAACTCAATTTCCAGAGGTTATGGTTTCGCAAACCTCCACCATTTGATTAGATAGTCCATCAAAGTGCATCTTATATCAAATGATTTTATGCTTCATTCAACTGCTGCAAGGAAGCAAAAATAAGAAGAAGAAGAAAAAATACCAGAACAATAAAAGTCTTTGAGTGGGAGTAGTAAAAAGAAGTGGTAAAAGTGAAATACAATCCTCACAAACTTTATAAAGGGTACATTCTCCTCAGGCTTTAATGGATCCACAGTGAAGCCAATCACAATGAACACCAGTGAATGCAATAGTTAAAGGGAAGGTCCACTTTTGGAGTCATTTTCTTATCCCCTCCATAAGCTCCAGAATAGGACCATAGCCAGGATACTGGGCTTACTGAGGTCATAAGCTACACAAAGGTCTAAACACTGCCTTCTCCATGCATTCAGGAATAAAATGGTGAGGATATACTGATTTTGTAGGGCATTTTTTTCTGGCAGTGACCCCCTGGAGTCTTGCCAACAAAACAGGAATTTACTGCTCCTGGTCAATAAATAGTCGAGCACATACATGTGTGTTGCTGAGCTTTAGAGGTGCTGGTAGGCAGATTTTTTAAAAACTGATTTCCCTTCATCCCAGGCTGTCTGCTAAGGTATAAACTGACATGTCATTGGTTATTTCTTCATATTTAGCATAAAGGCACGAGAGCGATCCAAGTCTTGGCATGAGCATATTTACCCACATTTGTTTAATTATTATTATTTTAAATATCAATATTCTTTCAAACCTTTAAACCTGTGTAGATGTGTGTTTCTCTACAGCAAACATAAGTTTTTTTTAAAAAAATCTCACCCCACAGCGTGTCCTCAAAGTCAACACAGACCGGAAAAACACATTCATGACACACAAAACAGTACAATCTCTCCCAAAACTATCTCTTCAAGCACAGCACCCACCCAGTGCCACACTTGTTCATGGTGCTATCCCATCCATCCTATGCCAGATCAAATCTGTCATCTGAGGTTATTAAAACGAGTCAACAAGGCAATAAACTTGAGTTATAATCTGCCCACCGTCAATAATGCACCTTCTTTTTTTCCTTTTTTTTACAGGCTAACTGCACCACACGAGCTGATGCATCAACTCCACGCTCAGATGAACATGGGATGTGAGTTCACAGGCAGTACGAAGACTCAGCTTTGATACATATGACAAATAGGATGAATTCAGGGATTGTGCGCGTGTGTCCTTTACTTCATGTCCGGCCAAAACTAGCCCAGCCCAGAGGGGACGCAGTCTGATGCTGCTGGTGACACATGCAGTATATTAATGAGTCTTATTAAAGCAACAGAACAGTAGCAAATGTTGTTTCTCTGACCCAGTCGGCCCTGACAGTCTGACAGAACCACCTGGCCCAAGTCACTAGTAGACAAACACACTCAGCGGACAAGGTCACCTCTCAAACTGGTTGTTTTCAGACTGACTTTGGCACCACAGATTTTCACAGCCTAATGCTGATTTATCAAATAGCAGCCATGGTGACATTGTTATTTTAGTCAAGTGTTTAGACACTAAGTTGGAGGGTTTTCTGCATTTACTTGTTGTCATTATCCCTCCTTGCATTCTCACTTTCTCTGTCCACTCCTTCTCTTTCTATGCATCCTTTCCTGATGTCAGTGTGTGTGTTTAGCAGGCTGATATAGCTGTCAGTGCTTCCCACTGCCAGCGAGACCGAGTGGAGCTGGACAGGGAAACAGAGGCTGGAGATTAAATCAGCTAAAGTGATCAATACGAGCATGTCGAGTGAGCCACCAAACACTGGGACTGTCAGACTCGCAGCACCTGATGGTCTCATCAGATAAAGTACTCCGCTGCAGTGGAGGGAGATATTGCTTAAACATTTATTCACCATTTGTCTGTTACAAAGCGCTGGAGAATAAGACCTTTATTTCTACCTCTCTCGCACATTTTTTCGTTTTACCTTTCCTCTTTTCCATGTTAGTTTAATACCATCAAATATAAGTCAGTTTGAAATAATGCACTTCACACAGTTTGTTAACATACATTAAAGGTCAGGAGTTTTACTGAGCTCAAGAAAACTCTTTTGGTCAGATGTCACACGTTTTACCATGAAAATCCTGATTTTTTGTTTGTTTGTTTTTTTTAATAATGTTTTTGAGGTGTGAGGTTTTCAAT